TTATAAAGCTTTTTTCCAACTCTTCCTTCTTTCTTTTCTCTTTTTCTTTTGTACAGGTGAGGATTTGTATATAGATGTTTATTGCAAGGCCTGTGGAATTAAATGAATATAGAGGTATCAACTGCTGCATGTTCAGGCATATTATTAAAATTAGCCTATGAAAGAATTATTATGATAATGTCCATGTGCAATACTCTGTTTGTGTATTGGTTCAAGTTATTGTCAAAGATGAATTTTTCCCTTTCTTTCTTTTCTTTTTCTTTCTTTCTTTCTTTCTTTTTTTTTGGTTATAGGACAGATGTAAACCTATATTAAGCTGTACTAATTCTCCTGTATAGTTCTCTTAAACTGTATATGGAATGATAGAGAGGGTTGGGGGGAGGGGGAGGAGGGACCACTATTGACCAAAGCACATCTTTCAGACACATGCCCCATCTCATGTTATCTCTATGACATGAAAGTTATTGCAGAAAGGTTTCTTCTTCAGAGAACGTAGAACCTCCTGCCTATCAAAGTGACCTTCCATGCTAGTAGACAGGCATAACATCTGAACTGGGCATCCCTGGACAGCTACCGGGACCGTGCTCTGGAATCCCCCTTAAAAATGCTTTGTCAGTAGTTCGAGCAGAGTTAATCTAACTGTCATATTAAATGCCCTGACATGTTATGCGGTAAATTACAGTGAGCTAGACTGAACTACTTGATGCATTGATAAAATTGGTCAAATTGTTGCAGACTGGTGCCTTCAGATAAGTCCAGAGGAACCCACCAACCAGAGCAGGATCGCCACAGGGCAGGCAGTCTAGAACATTATTCAACCTTGAATCCTCCCTGTTAGGGGAGGTGTGCCCCAATTTCCAGAAAAGGCATCTGTCATGGGCTTCTCCCATGTGGCCTATAACTTCCCGTAATATGGAAAGAAGCCACACTGGAATGATTCCCAGGCCCCCAAAGTAGCTTGAGAAGTTGGTGCAAATCATCTTTTTAAATGGACAGATTAGGTTACATCAGTTTTGTGTATGGCTGTTCAGAGCCACTTTTGGTGACAAAGACATTTAATTCCATTATGTTGTGTTTTTTAAAAACTCAGGTGTAATTATTATTATTATTATTATTATTATTATTATTATTATTATTATTATATACATATATGTATGTATTCATATGATGATTTCAGAATATTAAATATGCTACATCAAGTCATGTGTTGTCTGGCTTACCAAAGTAATAAAGTATCAAACCTTTTTAAATAATTTATTTTATTTTTATTAAAACTAAGGGGCTGGGGGCAGGGGGAGGAAATCCCATCTCCTCACCCTCTGGCTTCTAGAGCGAAAGCACAGAAATATCACAAAGTTTGCATCATCTCATTTTATGTTCATTTTAGGGCAAAATCATGTAAAACAGCCCATTAGTGTTTAATACCTGTTCTTTGTATTTTTCCTGATGTTAACTTTGAACATCCAGTGCAAGAACAAAGAAAGCCAAGTAGCATTTTCCCTTGGTGAATGGAAGCTCTGGAGATTGCAAAGGGCCTTCCAAAACTGTTCATAGATTGACTAAACCGCAGAGTGATTGTCCAGCGCACTCTTGTTTGCATGGAATTTGAGGGCTTTATACAAAATGGAGACTAGCGGTTCTTTATAAGAACATAAAATGTGCATTCCACAAAGCTTTTGTAGGCAAAATTGTGGAGTGTATGACTTCCCTTTCCTGGCATGCACAATCTCTGACAAACATTTATGCTAACAAGAAATGCCCCAGTTCCTGCACTTCTCTCTTTAGGATGCTGAGTAGGAAAAATTAATACTTTTGCATGCAAAGATATTTCAGCTCCAATCCCGGAGCCTGCCTTGATCCAGCAACAGAAACCATTAACAATTAAACTTTGATGGATTTTGCCAATGGCAGGTGTGTGGCTAACCAGTACATCGTGATACCTGAGCCTGAATATATTGTCTGGATTAATTTTTTTTTTAATGAAAATGGGTGCTTGTATCAGCATGCAAGGCCACCAAAGAGGATGCATGGCAGCAGCTGGACTGAAAGCCAATAGGATTGAAGCACTTTGGTTGTGTGCAAAACCTCTTGCTGCCATCAGTATATAGGTGAATTCTGTTCCTTGAATTTAGCAGGTTTTCTCATTTTCCTTGAACTTTTAAAAAATTAGCAGGTGATTAAGAGTCTCCCCCCTCATCCTTTTGGAGAGGTGGGAGAAGGACGCATAAAAATTGCACAAAATGCCAAATGAAATAATGGGAAGAAATCACAATAGACCATTTTCTCTTGCTTTGTTTTTTTGACGTCACTGTCCATAGGGATAATATTTCCTCTCCCCCTACAATAAAACTAATGCTATCTCTCCAGAAAGGCTTTAAAAAAAACCCCCAACTTATTTGAAATTTTGTGGAGAATAGTTCTGGGGAAAAATACGAAATTTACTGAGTTTTACAGGACCAGGTTGTGTTTTGCTTTGTTTTTGTGTTTTTCTTCAATTGTGAGGCTTTCTTTGTACAGACTTTTTCCTACAGTCGTAATTTGAATCTCTTGCCATTCATAGGGTTATTTCACTGTAGCCATTATTACTGTGCCAAATGTACTGTATTCTCAAGTATGTGAATGTGTATTGTTTCAGAACCTAATAAATACTATGATGTTAAAAAATGTTTTGCAGTTTTCATAAGTGGTTTCAAATGAGAATGAAGACATTGTCAAGGAGAGAGTGATTGTAATGGTACGTGGGAATGACCTGAGAGACGAGGGGAAGAGATGCTGCCTAGGGAACGATCAGATAAAAGGGGGAGGAGCCCACAGCTGAATAACAGGCAGAGAAGAAACTTAGAAAGGATGTGCCCTAACTTATCAAGCTGTAAAAAGAGACAGCGGGAGATATGTACTTTCTGACTTGTAAGATTCTGTTAATGTAGTCCTACGATAAAGTAGGGTTAGCTCATCTTGTGTTTCCTGTCTGGTCTACCTGGGAGGCTGACAGTGATATAATAAGAAATATTCATGCAGAACATCACTCTTTAAGAGCCCCCATAACAATTCCCTCACATAGAAGCCCTAATCCTATAAAAGGTAAAGACAACTTCAACTCAAGCGTGACTCCTGGTCATTATATGGACAGATCCATTGGTTTGTCATTGCCTTCTTCCACAGTATTCTTTATCTTCCCAGTTCTAATTATGCCTCTGGAATTTCTTAGTGGTTCTCCATCCAAATACTAGCCAGCACCAACCCTGCTTAGCTTCTGAGCCTAGCTGTGGTGCTAAGGCCTAAGTCATTTTTGTAACCATGTTGCTGGATAGGTTCAGAGTCCTGTAAAACTTCCAGGGTGTATAAATCAACCAAGGGTCCATTCATGATTTACTGAACAAGTTAGAAAGTGCCCTACCTTAACAAGAAAAACATTCAAAATTTTTAGAAAGAAAGATCTTACAAAGATGGAAGAGCCCATGATCTTCTCATCACTCATTTTCCTGGGTGGGCAAGTTTGTTGATGTGGCTTATTAGCAAGGTTTACCTTTTCTGGGATTGATATAGTGCAACTTGTGGAGCAGTTCCATTTCTTTTTAAGTCAGTGAAGTGTATGTAATATCACTATTGTGTATATAATACCATTATTATGTAAAAATATTCTGCATGGTATGCAATAGTCTAACAGAAAGTATACTATATGCAGTAAGGGAGACTCATTCAGCACAAGAGACAGAAAAGTAGCAGAAAGAAAACAGGGTTTTTTTTTCTTTTTTAAGTGGGCAGAGTGGGGAGGATAAAAGGGAGAACTGAAGGAGCTGAAGGGCTGAAGACAGGTTACAAACTCTGACTTACACTGCCACCTACAATAGACTACTATAATATACTATTAACTTTCTAGAAAAAATGAAGTTAAAAATGCTTCCCCATGGCTAGTTTTTTGAGTGGCAATGGGAGTAGGGGTGCTGATGTTCAAATAACTTAATGCATTTACTTAATATGTAAGAAAATAGCCAAAAATGTGCCTCTAGGGCACTGTTTCTCAAGCTTGGCACCTTTAAGATGTGTGGGCTTCAAGATCTGCATTTAGGGACATGGAAGAGAAATGTGCCCTTAATCTGTCACATGTGATTCCCTCCTCCTCAAAGTTCTGGCCGCATGTCTTAGAACAGTGTTTCTCAACCTTGGCACTTTTAAGATGTGTGGACTTCAACTCCCAGAATTCCCTAGCCATGCATAGCTGGGGAATTCTGAGAGTCGAAGTCCACACATCTTAAAAGTGCCAAGGTTGAGAAACACTGCTCTAGGGTATGCTGCCTCCAACCATCGTCTCCTTAATCTCCCAGCCCCAGCTGCTTTTATCCCTAGATACGGTGGCAACGTGTATCTTATAAAAAATGAGAAAACATATTACTGAAGAAAGAGTGCGAAAAGGGGCAGATTGCCACACCCTTGTATATTCTGACATAT